CAACAGCACCAACACCAATACCCTAAGGCAAAACTCTTACAAGTCAACAATGACAACCACAGAGCCAAAGGCATAGCTCAGAGGTAGAACATCTGCCCAGTGTTAGCATTCTCGAGGCCCTGGGTTCACTCTCTCATATAAAACAATCCAAAAATAAACAAGTCGGTGGGCAAAGCTGGCTCAGTGGGCACTCCTGGCATCAAACTGGAAGACCTGCGGTCCATCCCCGGGATGAACGCAGTGGAAGGAGACAACTAGCTCCCTTGGATTGTCCTCTGAGTTCCACATGTGTGCTGTGACACATGTATGCACACGCATGCACACACAGAATAAATTAAATTTTGTTTTGTTTTGTTTATGGAGACAGGGTTTTTCTGTGTGGCCCTGGCTGTCCTGGAACTCACTCTGTAGAGCAGGCTGGCGGAACTCAAGTGTAAAATTTTAAATTCAGCTTTAAATAAGGCAAGTAAGAGAGAGAGGGGTAAGAGTGGGTGGGGAGTGGGGTGGGGGGATGTGAAGGCAGGAAACCCAGGGTTTGTGCGTGTAAAGCAAGCATTCTAACAAATGAGCTACATCCCAGACATGACACATACTATTCCTTCCCAGGAAGTCAACAAATTCGCCCAGAGTGAAGGGGAAGAGAGTGTGACTGTCTACTTCTCTGGGAGTGTGAGATTCCAAAAGGGCTCACTCGATAAGAAATACTGCCGGGCGGTGGTGGCGCACGCCTTTAATCCCAGCACTCAGGAGGCAGAGGCAGGCGGATCTCTGTGAGTTCGAGGCCAGCCTGGGCTACCAAGTGAGATCCAGGAAAGGCGCAAAGCTACACAAGAGAAACCCTGTCTCGGAAAACCAAAAAAAAAGAAAAAAGAAAAAAGAAATACTATAGCAGTCATACTTGGTTTTGGTGGTTGTGGTTTTTAGACAGTTGTCTTGTCTCCTGCAATCTGGCTGGCCTCAGAGTCGATTTGGAGCCAAGGATGACCTGGAACTTCCTCATCCATCTGTCTTTGCCTCTCAAGTGCTGGGATTACAGGCATGTGCCACCCTGCCCAGCTTGTGGGGTGCTGGGGATCAAATACAGGCCTTGATGTATGGGAGGTGAGCACTGTATCACCTAAGCTACACCTCAGGCTTCTGGCAGTCATATTGGGATAATGTGGTGGCTAACCCTGAAAGAAAAGCAAGCAACAGGTCACGCCAGGCCTTTCAAATTATATTAACAAGCTTAGTCTTCTTAAATCTGTGGTCCTGGCTGGGCAGGACACTTGGATCTCCTACATGCTATATAAGTGCCCTACCACTGAACTACAGTCCCCAGCCCATGGGTGTAGTCTTGATAAGACTTGTCATGGGGGTGGAGGTGGGGGGCTGAAGAGGTGACTCAGCGGTTCACAGCACTTGCTGCTCTTGCAGAGGACCCAGTTGGGGTTCCCAGCACCACAGCTCACAGCCAGCCAGCTGTAACTCCAGTTCCAGAGAGTCTGGTGCGCTCTTCTCACCTCCGAGACAGCACTGGAGAGGAGGAGAGAGGTCGGTGTCAGCCCAGGGAACAACCTCCACTTGGTCTTGCCCTGGGTACTTTGGCTCACACCAGGGTTCGAGCAGATCAAAAACACATGCACGCAGCTAGCTCAACGAGAGGTACACACATATACATTCAGGTGAAACATACACAAAATGAAAATTAATAAACCTTAATTTGTTAAAGGAAAACAATTTTTATGAGGTGCCAGTCCTGGTGTCTCATACCTGTGATCCTATTAACAGGGGAGGTTAAAGCACGAAAACGCTGAGTTCCAGGCCTACTGGGTACAGTGAGCGCTTCAGACCATCCTGGGCAGCTGTGTGTGTGT